TTTCATTATGTGTAAACTTTATTTAGTTTATCCTAATTCCAGCCTATATTTTTTCTAGTTATTAGTGGGCAGTTCATTGTAAGTTTTAACATTGATTTTGATAGTACATGAAATTTTACCAAAATGAAAATTTTGAGGTATTTGAACCTTGGATGTCGGTTTTAAGTCTTGTATTACGCAAATAATGTCTTTATTAATTTATTTTAATTTTTCTCGTAATCTGTGTATGTCTCTTTCACACTTATTCTAGTATGGTTCCAAACAAATATTATGGTTATTAGTTCAATTGTGCTTTCATATGATTGGTTATGATTACATTCTATTTCGAAGTGTATTATATGTAATTATTGTTATGGTTGAGCTTATAAGTGGAGGATTGTATCTATAATAGATATATGTATTATTTTATATGAATTATAAGGATAATATATTAAAAAAATTATTTTAGAATATATGAATTAAATTCTCAACTTAAACATATTATAGAGTCTAATATAAGTTAGAAAAATATATTGTTGCAAAATGAAGATGTTAACATTGATTAACATAAATAATAAATAAATAAACAAACAAATAAATAAATAAAGACGATATAATTATTGTGCCATGTAAACATTGCCTTAGAAGTAATTTCATTTGGATTGGTGTAATCCCCAAAGTTTATGTTGCCTCACACTTTCCTCCAAGGTTGACATTGTTTTTCAAATTTCTTACATCCAAAATAAGGAAATGGAACTTGCTTGGCATTGCTTTTTTCAAAGATAAAGAAGAGAATTCTATAGAAAATGTCGAGACGTTTCTCTGCCATGGCGACAGAGAGTACAAATAGTACACCCCAGACGGTGTAACTAGTCTCGAAAAAGTAAGTGTTTATCCTCCATTAATCAAATAAAACATCATATTGTAGAGTCGCCACCAATATATTTATGTGGTGAGATTGGTCACCAAACTGTTGTATTATTTTAATAAAAATTCCAAAGAATATTATTAAAATAATACAACTCGGGTCTGCTTACCAGAAAAATGAGTTCGAGAGTCAGTTACGTATGGGAAAGAATTAGCATTCCCACAACGCCCAAAATTAGTACTGATATTTATTAATTAAATATCTTTGTAGTAATTATAAATTTGTTCTTTAAACTAGTTTACGAATAATTTAAAATATTTACTAAATATTTAACATAAATATTACTAATTCTATTATAATATTTAATATTATAAAGTAAATTATTCAAATTATTCAAATTAATAATTCTAATACTAATATTATAACTAATATTTAATAATTAAAATATAGAATATTATAATTACTTAACCTAATTAAAAATATTATTAAAAAATAATGTACTAATAATATAATTTACCTTAATTTACTATATAGGTCGAAATATAAGTTTATTATTATTTAAGGACTAAATGCATAATTTAACCTAAGATATATATAAATATAATAGTGACTAAAATATAAATATTAAAAATATAAAAACAAAATTAAAAGATAAGATTTATTGGATGCTCTCAGCCTTATAAAAACAAATCCAAGCGCCTTTTATCCTAAAAACCTCTTAATCGGCCTAGATATGAGATTTTACCTTCGGTAAAATTATGTTTCCTGCGACTTTTGGGCTTCGACGAGGGTAAGTTTCCTTCGACGATTCTTTATTTGTTTTCCTTTCATTGTTTGCGCTGATTGGATGCCCTCTATTGTTGCTATTTCTCTCTATTTATTGTGGCTTTCGCTTCGTTCTGTCTCTCTGTTGATGTTTGTTGGGTTTATCTTTCTTACTCTTGTTTGTTCTTTGTAGGGCTGGGGTTTATATAGCCCCTGAAGATCGATGTAATAATGATGATATCCATTGAGTTACCGACCTATGGTGGTGACTCACCCTAGCTTGATGTGTTGTGCGGTCCTCGTTCACCTTCTGGAACCTTCAAGATAGCTCTGGAGAGGCGACGACCATCGTGGTATTCTTCGATTGGAGCCTCAAAGGCGGTGGCCAGAATTAACCCCTAGGGTTGTAATGATACCCCTAGGGTTTCTGGAATCATCTGGAGCAATCTGGAGCATTGATCTTCATCTTGATCGGACGGTGGAGAGTTGTGCGACGCTGTAACAGTGGATGGAAACCCTAGCTGCTGGTTTGGGCCTTCTTGCGGGCCTGTTGGATCTGGGTCTGGGTTTGGCTTGGGTTAAACTTGTAATCGAGCTCCTAAGTTATCAATTGGGCCTCCAAACTTGTAAATGGGCCATTGCGCTATATAAATAATAATATTTATAATATATTATTATTATTATATACAATAACATATATAAATAATCGTAATCACTCGGACGAAAACTAGTATCGATAGAAAAAATGGAATTGGTGTATGAAATAGTAAATTATAGTTTGATATTTTTACGGAAAAGATAAGGGGTAAATCTGTAATAAATAGATGCGATTATAATAAAATCTCAACCACTCTTCAATATCTCCCAAATATAGAAAAAAATCTTTTCTAAATATATTTATTTTTATTTAATTATTTGCATTATCGAACAATCCCCCACTAATGAAAATAAATAAAATATTATTAAAAAGAGAAAAGAATAACAACAAAATTAATGGCTTAAGCACTAGTATCTACTAGATTTAAACTAGTACATAGTGAAATCAACAATTATTCTCTTAACGAGTGAACGAATCTTGAACTTGTCAAAATAGGAGTAAACTTATGACACACGACTAATCTCTGATCCAATTGAGTTCCGTGATAAATCAATCAATTTAATCAATATACCTCGGGATGCTAGTAAACGCTCTAGAAAGACAACCCAATATTTTTCATAGAAGTTGGCTAGTTCTTCACACTTACGTAGGTGATTTCATAAAGTCTATCTCAATGTAGACCACCCAAATCAAGGATATGAAATCATTAAGAACATTTATAAAGCTCAGCCTATTTGTTTTAAGATTCAGTGAATTCATCATGTCCGTCTCATAAGGACTCATTAAGAGTGTAAAACCCAACATCTCAAATTTCTGAATTCACCAAGTCTGTCTCACAAGGACCACTCAAATCATGAGTATGAATTCATTGAGAGTATAAAGCCCATCCTTTCAAGTTGATGAATTTATTAAGTCCTTCTCACTAGGACCATCCAAAACCTGTGCTATAAGTTCAATAAGAGAAAAAGCTCATCCTTATTCAACATTATTTTCCTTAGGAATAGATATGAATGTACACTATGAGCCTTTTCATGGCTTTGTTTGACCGCATTGAACTTAGAAGACTAAGTTGGTGTCAAACACGAATTCCTCAACCAAATGTGTTTAATACCTATTCTATATGACAAATAATGAATCACTTTTTATTTTAACTCTTAAATTAAGAGATCAATATTAATTTTCTTCAATCCTATTATACCTCAAAGTACTTAGTTTTATGGGCTTATGTTTTTTTTTCGTAGGCTTGATTTTTAAATCATTTATACGATTCATGTAAAAGAACAAATTATAAATAATTCTCTATTTAAGGATTTTCAGCAAGATTTATTCATAAGGCATTTAATCTCTTGCCTGAGTAAGTCAAGACTTGTCATCTCAATCTTCAAAGTAGAACTATTAAAACAAATTTCCACAAGCTTTCACAAAAGCTATTCTACTTAGATAAACATATACCTACTATAATTTCACATGTTTCATTAAAGATACCTAAACTAAGAGGGTTAAAATTCTCATAGTTTTATTGAATTTTAAATAACTATTTCCATACATATAAATTATAAACTTATATACTTCATAACACAATACATTAAATCATTGATTTGTTTTAGACATCTCCACATACTATAACATTTATAGGATAGAGAATTTCCAATTACCCCCATATTCTCTAACCTCAAGTTGTCTAAATTCATTTCATATAAGACATGTAAACAATGTTCTACTCCAACTTTTTTTCAAGTAAACGAGAGTAAATGCTAGATTTTAAACATAAAATATATGGATAGACTATCACTTCTTGTTTCTAAATTAGAAGTGTATAGTAATAGAAATTAAATAACTACAAAAATTTTTAGTAGCATTGTCTATCACATTAATCAAATATTAACTTTGAAGAGGTCATTGACAGTATAGCTACTATGACAAAAAGTCTTATCTTAATAAGATTATCAAATTTTCACTTTTTATCTTCTTCTTTAAGTTATGAAATTTATATATTAGTCATAGAATTTTATGAATCAAAATAGTGAGGATAGAAATAAATAGTGCACTAAGTACGTACCTAGAAAAATAGAGGTGGAACACTTGTAACACCCCGAATATCGAGCTAGTAGTTTTGTGTTGACCTAAGAATTCATTTAATATATTCATTTTAGCATGGAGGTCCATTGGTTCGAATTTGAGTTTAATCGAGTAACAAATTAGCCTTATAAAAGATAAAAAAGGGATTTTTAAGCTTAGAAAGAATGTTGAGAACCTAGAGTATGATTTACCCATTTGTGAAAAGCCTAACTGATTTATGGAGATTCATTCTTCTTATAGATGTGGGGTTTATTTAAAAAAAAGGTTATTCTTTCCTTTTTCATCTTCTTTTATTATTTCTCTTTCTTCATTCTTATTTTTCTCTCCACTAAATCAAGAACAAGAGAAAAGCTTCTACCTTTCTTTACCACATTCTTTAATCCAAAAATCTAGAATTAAGATTCTTAATCTAGAGTTCTTGAGCTAAATGAAAAGTTTACCATCTCCATAAACGGTGTTCTTGAGCTCTCGTGAGGTTTTGGGAGGGTTTGAGATCCAAAGACTCATTTCATGGTTTTTATATGATTTTCATGTATTATCGTCGTTGTTTAACATCTAGTCCCCTTCATTTTCATGCTAGAATTTTTGGTGGCTTTTAGGTAGTACAAGAGTGGTGCAAGAACCCCCAAAGAGCAAAGGATTAGAAATGTTGATGCTTGGAGGATCTAGAAAGGTATTTGGGTAGCTAGTAGCTGAGGTAACACACTATAACTCTTCATTGATGTTTGTGTGTCATGTACATGATGTTGCTTTCTTGTATGGGGTGGAAAAACATGTGGGAGCTTGGGTGTTTGATTTACTGTTATGGACATTTTAGATGTTATTCAAGTGTAAAAGTGATGTATAATGACCCCTAATAACTTCCATAAGCTTTAATAAGCAACTTAGATTTTAAAACAAGTGTTTAGGGGTGAGTTTAGGTGTGTTTCTCGTGTTAAATAGTGTATTTCTGGGTTATAGTATCGATAGTGTATGAACAATATTGATATTGTTTATATTCTAGGTAAAATTAGGCTATTTTAAGGGGAATACCAATATTGTTGAGAGGAGTACCAATACTCATCCTTTGAAAAATACAAGGGTGGTTTTAAGGTTGTTTTGATAATTTTGGTACTGATACTCAAGGGAGTATCAATACTACCTGAAAGTGTATCAATAGTACATGTATATTATTAATAGTAAGGGTATTTTAGGGTACTTTTGAGGTTATTTTTGGTATGGATACTCGATGAGAGTACTAATACCCTAGGATAGGTATCGAAACCTATATAAAAGTACCAATGCCATATTTGATGATTGATTTATTGACTTTGAGTTGCTAAATAAAATTAAAAGTGAGGAGTTTAATAATGGTTGAGATAAATCATATAGCTTGGGAAATTTTTAAAATGCCCTTAAACGGCTGAAATTACCAAATTACCCCTAGTTGTGAATAATGTTTTATAAGGATCTACAAAATATTTTCGAAAGTGTATGACCTTATAGTAGTATTTGCTCGTTGAACTTGAGAGGAAGCCTAAATACCTGAAATGGATTAAATGACCAAAATACCCCTAAGTAATAATAAGTGATACGAAAAACCTAAGAGTGCTCGAAAAAAGGTGTTAAGACTCTGATAATTTATTAAGTAATATTTTCATAAGCCTTAAACATATGTTATTCTTGTGAGTGGGGTAAATTATTAGAATACCCTTAGTGAGTGAAATTACTTACGCTAGTGAGAGTCGAGATACAAAGTGTTTGAATAATGATATGAGACACTTAGATATATAACAAGAGTGTGTTCATGAAGACTCAATAAGAATAATATAAGTTAATAATATCAGGTTTTTGGTTGGGTAGTATCGATACTCTATACATAAAGTATCAATACTGGTTGTCGGGTATCGATACCATCTTTAAGTCACAAATCTAGTAGCTAGATTTGGTATCGGTACCTGGGATGGTAGTGGTAACCTAACAGAGAAGTATCAAAACTCCAAGTAGGGTATCGATATTACAAGGCCTCCTCATATCAAAGAATACAAATTTCCTATCAGTACCAAGGTGGGTATCGATATTGAAGAGTTGGTATCGATACTAAAGGTCTTAGTAACAATACCATTGTACTAAATTAGACAATAAGCCTAGTTTTGGGTTAATATCTCGAAAAGGGGTTAAAGACAACCAAAACCTTAATATCAAAATCTTACGATTGGAAAACCTGAATAATTATGTGATAAGCATAAAAATATTATGAGATAATATTCCATAAGACTAATGCCTTTGTTTGACACTCATAAAATGATGTAGATACTCAAGCTACTTGCATGTATGACGATCGTCTAATGCATTTATACACACACACACACACACACACACACACACACACATACACGCGCGCGCGCGCACTCATGCATACATACATACATACATACATACATACATACATACATACATACATACATACATACATACATACATACATACATACATACATACATACATACATACATACATACATATATACATACATATATACATACATACATACATACATACATACATACATATATACATACATACATACATACATACATACATACATACATACATATATACATATGAGAAATATTCGGATATACACCAATCAATGATAAGGCACTTTAGTATCTGTTTTAATGCGCTTTTATATTAGTGCTAATGCACTTTCATATTAGTGTTAAGGCATATTAGTACCAGTGTTAAGACACTTCAGTTATTCAATAGTATTACCGCGATATTATATATATATGTACCATTGACTATATTGTAATACTTTTGATATGATTTTATGCTTGTTACATTTTGTTGTTGTATGATTAGTACCTAAAGGCTATGTACTATAATTGTGTTAGGATGATTATTTGTGGCATATGATGATATAGTAGCATGGTATTTTGGTTAGATACCAGTATATGTATACTCATGGTATGGCCTTTATTTATAAATTAAGGGAATCATGAGACTCATACTATTGTGACGGTGGATGTACATTGGATAAATATTTTAGGTAGTGGGTTAGAAGACATTGAAACTAATTTAACAATACTCATCCCTTTAGAACAATATGTAACTATAAGTAAAATCTTTAGAAGGTGTCATTTAGAGGTATAGGGTGAAATATTTCCTGCGAACTTGACGGAACTCCCTTTTGGGGAATTTGATTTTATCTTGGGAACGAGCATGACGTATATTCTAAGTGTGTCGCTAAGAAAGCAATCTTGAGAACAGAGGATGATAGAGAAGTTATTTTATTTAGAGAAGGGTGAGGTTATTTATCCACCATGGTGTCTGCCCTAGTTGTCGAAAAGTTGATCTGAAAGGGATACGATGCATATTTGGCATACATTTTAGATACGTGAAAGTTAGATTGTGCATTTTAGACATCCGAATAATGAAGGACTTTCCATATGTTTTCCCTGAAGAATTACCGGGACTACCACCTGATCGAGATGTTGAGTTTAAAATTGAAGTTTATCCGAGAACAAATCCAGTACCCATTACACCATATCGCATAGAGCAAAAAGAGTTGAAGGAGTTAAAAATCTAGTTGAAAGAGCTTTTGGTTCAGGAATTTATTAGCTCGAGTGTTTTACCGTGGGGAGCACCTGTTTTGTTTGTGAAAAAGAATGATGGGACTTTAAGGTTGTGCATTGACTACCAATAGCTAAATAAACTCATGGTCAAGAATAAATACCCATTACCTCAAATTGATGATTATTTGATAAATTTTGATGAGCTACAATATTCTATAAAATAGATATGAGGTCAGGTTACTATCAACTAAAGGTGAATGACTCTGATGTGCCAAAGATAGCATTTATAACTAGTTATGGGCATTATGAATTTTTGGTGATGTCTTTCGGGTTGACTAATGCTCCTGTAGCTTTTATGGATATGATGAACCAGATCTTCCAACCTTATTTAGATTAATTTATCGTTGTATTCATTGATGACGTTTGGGTTTATTATAAAACTGAAGTGGAGCACAATGAACACTTAAGGATTGTTCTATAGATTCTTTGGGAGAATAAATTATATGCAAAGTTAAGTATATGTGAATTATGATTGAAAAAGGTTTTATTTTTTGGACACGTGGTCTTTGTTGATGGTATTCATGTGGATCCGAAGAAGGTGGAAGCTATTCTAGAGTGGAGACAACCTAAGAACGTCCCTGAGTTTCGTAGTTTTCTGGGATTAGCAGGTTATTACCAAAGATTTTTTGAGGCGTTTTCTATAATCGTTTCACCATTGACTAAGCTATTGAGGAAGAATGCACCCTTTGTCTGAGGTGAAGATCAACAACCTAGCTTTGAGAAGTCAAGTCTACGCTACCCAAGCTCCTGTGCTAGTTCAACATGAGTCTGGTAAGGATTATATTGTGTATAGTGATGCATCTCATTCTGGATTGGGTTTGTTTTAATGTAGGAAGGTAAGGTGGTTGCATACACATCACGATAATTAAAGTCCCATGAGCATAACTACCCTACATACGAACTTGAACTTACAGCGGTAGTGTTCACACTAAAAATATGGAGGTATTATTTGTATGAAGAGAATTGCTACATTTATACATATCATAAGAGTCTGAAGTACCTTCTAACTCAGAAAGATTTAAATTTGCTCCAACGCCGATGGTTGGAGTTTTTAAAATAATATGATTGAGTAATAGAGTATCATCCAAGAAAGGCCAACATAGTGGCTGATGCACTTAGCAAGATGGAGATGATTGATCTATGGTCAATGTTTGCTAATTTGAGTCGTTGTTTATTGGCAAAGTTGTAGTTGAAGCTGATGTTGATGGAGGATATTAAGGCGAAATATCCTTTAGATGTAACTTTGCTACCTCGGGTTAAACAAGTTGAGCAAGGTGGAAATTCATGCTTTAATTTTGATCAAAATGGAATCTTGTTATCGAGGAAGGTTTTGTGTGCCTACTGATGAAGAGTTTAGGCAATCGATACTTTTCGTGAAGCGGATAATAGTCCTTTTATTATGCACCCTGAAGGTAATAAGATGTACCAGGACTTAAAGACTATGTATTAGTGGTCTGGTATAAAGAAGGATGTAACAAAAATTGTATCTAAATACCTAGCATGCCAGTAGGTTAAAGCGGAGCATCATGTTCCTTTGAGATTATTGCAACCAATTCAAATACCGCAATGGAAGTGGGAGAGAGTCACCATGGATTTTTATGTGGTTTATCGTTAATACCCTCGAAGAAATATTCGGCTTGGGTCATTGTTGATATGTTGACTAAGTCTAATCATTTTCTACCAGTCAAACATATTATAGTTTGCAGAAGTTGGCTAAGCTATACATTTCAGAGTTTGTGATATTACACGGTGTACCAGTATCTATCATTTCTGATTGTGATCCAAGGTTTACATCTAGATTCTGGTAAAAGATTCACAAGGCACTTGGTACCTGTCTAAATTTTAGTACGGCTTACCATCCACATTCTGACAGCCAGTTTGAACGAATAATATAGATTCCAGAGGATATGTTATGAGACTGTGTAATTGAGCTTAGGGTTAATTGGGAGGATCACTTAACGTTAGCTGAATTTGTTAGTCTATTATCCAGATGGCTCCGTATGAGGCATTGTATGGATGTAGGAGTTGTACACCACTGTGTTTAACTAAGTCGAGTGAACAAAAGGTTCTAGGTCCATAGTTGGTTCATGAGACAAAAAAATGTTGTACGTGTGATAGAATATCGTCTTAAGGTAGCCTTCGATTACTAGAAGTCTTATGCAGACCTTAAGTGCAAGGAAATTGTGTATGAGGTGAGGGATCAAGTATTTTTTAAGGTCTTTCTGTGGAAGAAGGTGCTCAGATTTGGTAAAAAGGGGAAACTAAGTCCTAGGTTTATCGGACCATATTGTATTCTTAAGAGAGTTGGTCATGTGACATATCATCTTGAGCTACCTTTGGAGTTGGAACGAATCCATGATGTGTTTCATGTTTCTATGCTTCGTAGGTACATGTAAGATCCATCACATATACTTCCATTAAAAAATTGAGTTGAAACCAAATTTGGTGTTTGAGAAGGAACCAACTATGATTCTAATGAGAGATGAGAAGGTCTTAAGTAAGAGGCAAATTCCCTTGATCAAAGTTCTTTGGAGAAATAGTTGTTAGAAAAAAACAAATTGGGAACCTAAAGAAGACATGCGTGAGAGATACTCTCATCAATTCGATTTAGGTAAAATTTCGAGGATGAAATTTATTTAACGGAGGTAGAGTTGTCATACCTCAAAATAAGAGTTAAAATTTTAGTTAGTTTTATTCGATTCATAATTAGAATTAAAATAGAGTTTTTGAATTTAATAAAAATAAATAAATAAAATAAGAAAAAACTAGGTTGGGCCAAATATGTAATTTGTAAGCATAAAAGTTATTATTGGAAATGGCAACAAGATAAGGGACTGGTTGAGTGATTTAATCATTTTTCCCTAAAACTAAAAACTTGTCCCTTTCTACATGGACTTTTGGCTTGCCATCTTCCATTGTTGTAACAACTAATTTAAGAGGAGTAAATATAATTCAACGCGGAATTTATGGGTTAATATATTTTTATTATTAATATATTTTAAAATGGGATTAAATAAGAAAACAAATGTGGCTACTCTATTCTTTCTAAAGCGAAAGAAAATCATAAAGCGTAAATAATATTTCTTCGAGTTCTATCGCTAGTGTTGTTGTGTCGATGTCGTTATTATTTGTTATCATCACATCGATTGGGTCTCGCCGGAGAGGGAGTGTTAGAACTTAAGTAAGATACTTAGGAGGATATCAAGAAGATATTAAACTTGCATTCAATCAAAGAACTACATCAAAACATTTATACAAGAAAGACTTGTATAGTAGTTTTAACAAACTCATAACAAACTTCTAACAGCCCTAACCAATCTTAACTAACTACTAGCTAACTTGTTTAACATTCATGCATACTCCTAACTGCCACTACTGACCATGAACGTAGCTCTGCAGTTATGCTTCAACATTCTCCCCGTCCTTCTTAGATGTCCCCTTCTCCGCTATCTGCACTTTCTGTCGAAACAAAACATGTGTAGACTTTTCCAAGGGTTTAGTCGACCCATCAGCTACTTGATGTTCTCCAGGTACATAGTTAACTTGAACAGCTCCACAAGCTACTTTCTCATGCAAAAAATGTATATCCAATTCAATTTGTTTTGAATGAGCATGAAACACTGGATTAGAACTCATGACAATGGAACTTGTATTGTCACTCCATACAACTGGAATTGCAGTAACAAATTTACCCTTATTAGACAACAAAAAACGAACCCAAACTACTTCATACACTGTATCAACAATACTATGATACTCAGCCTCCGTTGTTGACTGGGCCATAGTCTTTTGCCTTTTAGCACTCCATGAAACTAGATTACATCCAAGAAACACACACGATTTAGACACTGACCTACGATCATCAGCGTTACTGGCCCAATCAGCATCAGCAAACGTAGTCACACAGCAAGCTTCAGATGCAGAGGATGGCCTAAATACCAAGCCATAATCAACTGTCCCACTCAAATAGTGCAATATTCTCTTAACAACAAGCCAATGATCGTCACAAGGATGATGCATATACTAAGCCACTCGATTAACACTGAATGCTATATCTGGTCATGTATGACTCAAGTACAATAGAGAACCAATAATGTTTTGAATCATCAATGCATCTGTAAGTGGTTTCCCAGCATCACAAGTCAACTTTGGTGAAACCACCATTGACGTAGGTGCAGACTTAGCATTAAGCATACCTGTCTGCTCCTGCAATCCTCGAACAAACTTGTATTAACTTAACACCAACTGTTCAGGTGACCTACTAACTTCAACACCAAGAAAGTAACCAAGCTCACCCAAGTCTTTCAAAGAAAATTTTCTTTCAAGCAGTCTAACAACCCCATTAATAGCATCATTAGACTCACCTGTGATAATAATATCATCTACATACACCAAGACCAATATAGGAGCTCCACCAACTCGGTGAATAAGCAATGATGCATCAATTGTCGTACCACAAAACCCTAGCTCCAATAAAAAATGGCATAGCTTGGCATACCACATGCGCGGTGCTTGACGCAGCCTATACAACGCCTTCTTTAACCTACATACCAACCGAGCCCCATCACTAGCCACTTGTTCAAACCCTGGTGGTTGCACCATGTACACTTCTTCCTCAAGTTCACCGTTAAGAAACACATTATTGACATCCACCTGCCTTAAACACCACCCATGAGTTACAGGACAACACAATATTTACTGTGGTAGTCTTTACCACCAGGCTAAACGTATCATTGAAATCATGATACTGTGAGTATCCTCTTGACACAAGATGAGCCTTGTGCCTTAAAACAAACCCATCAACATTATATTTAACCTTGAACAATCATTTACACCCAACTGTTGCTCGTCCTTCTAGTAACGGTTCAAGCACCAATGTACCATTCCTCACCAGTGAATCATACTTAGCCTAACCAACCATGCATGGCTTACTACCAACCGTGCATGGCTCACTACCACTCCCTTGAACCCGAGTAACAAACACTTTTGGCATAAAAATTCCTCGTTTACTTTGAGTGATCATTGGATGTTCATTGTGAGTCGAGTGACACGCTAGACCATCTTCAGATTGCCTAAACGCACCAACGGGAATCGACTCACCAATTGACAACTCACCATGCTGCTCTACCTAACATTCCACCATATCTGGCAAACTATCACCATTTTTACCTACACAAGTACTAGCACTCCCAGCAGGTTGACTCACACTACTACTAGAGGCCCTAACTTCAGTAGCCTCATATACTCCTCCACTACATACTAGTGCACAACCAAAGTCTTGCAGCACAGGCTAACTACCATCTGTAACTAGCTGTGAGGAATTACCAAAAACATGTTGAGTACCAGGAACCACCACCAATGAAGCCCTAGTACATGAGCTTTATGCAGTTGTCATACACTTCTTGCCCACAAGCTCAGCAAATGGAAACACCTGCTCATCAAAGACTATATGACAAGACATATACACTTGTCCATCATGTGCTAAGCATTGATAACCTTGATGACTCATACTATAACCCAAAAACACGCATGATTGTGATCTATATACAAGCTTATAAGGTTAAAATGGACGAAAATGGAGAAAACACCGACAACCAAATACTCTTAGATGATCATATGTTGGAGGCTTTCCAAACAACTTCTCAAATGGAGTACACCCTTGAAGTACCTTAGTAGGTAATTGATTAATCAAGTGAGCTGCTGTTACAACCGGAAACGACTAAAACTTCAAAGGTAAGGATGCTCGAGCTAACAGTGTCAATGCTATCTTAAACAAGTGTCTATGTTTTCTTTCAATAACTGCATTTTACTGTGATGTGTGAGGACATGTCACCTGATGTTGAATCCCACATTGTGCAAGCATGGCTGACAGAGAACGAAACTCACCTCCCCAGTCACTCTGCACAACTTTAATCACCTGACCAAATTGTGTATGAACTAACTGCTGAAACAACTGAAATGCTCGAACATCCTTCCCTTTCTCTTTCAACAAGTACACCCAGGTATGTCTTGAAAATGCATCTACAAATGATACATAGTATCTAAATCCATTTGACACAATATGACCCGGACCCCATATATCAGTAAACACTAACTGAAATGTATGTTCATATTGAGTCTCAGATGTACTAAATGAAAGCTTGTGGCTTTTACCCATATGACATGGAACACAAATTGGAAGCAACTCTTTATTCATATTGTTTGGCAAGGTAACATTACATTGTTTACAAACTTGTAACAAAACTTTATAAGAGGGATGACCTTATCGATCATGCCACAATACATAGTTACTACTAGAACTATGAGCCATATTTGCTTCAGCATCTTAAACTCGAGCAGACAGAAAACCACCAAATTCTTACAAACCACCAGTCTCTCTACCTCACAGCAACACAACACTAGAGTTTTATCTTGAACCACAAAATGATCAGTATGGAACTCCAAAAACACTTTATTATCCGTAGCAAGCTTGGAAACCGAAACAAACTTCTTAATTATAGAAGGCACATGCAACAAATCACTCAACATTAAAGACCGAGATGAAGTATGAACAGAAGCTTGACCAATTTTAGAAATAGAAAGACCACTACCATTTCCTATAGTAAGCTTACTAGCCCATGTATAGTCTAAGCCATCCATAATTTCTATGGCATCAGATGCAATGTAATGAGTAGCCCCTGAATCAACAAGCTACGAGGAAAAAGAAGAATTTGTTATAACCATATTTGAAAGTGGTCTGAGTCGTTCTTGACCATCCAGACCAGTTGCACTTACACCCGTTTTACTCCCACATGCACACGAAGTGGAATTATACTGTCACATATTAGCTGTAGGCGATCGATCCTTAAACGAACTTCTCATAACAAACTCGTCTACACCTGAAAATGATTTGTCAAACCTGTACCAACACCGATTAACAAGATGGCCATTCTTTCCACACAACTGACACCGAACCTTGGCACGTCCAAGACCACGACCAGTTTGATTATTATAGGCTATATACCTCTCATACTTGTCTTGATCTTGTCTAGTGAAACGATCAGGCCTATTATCCACAATACTCTTCACCTGTGCTGCATTAGCAGCAACTGTCATATTATCAAAACGATTAAAGTTTTTCTACTGAGTCTCAGCATCAAAGAGTACAGACACAACTCCTTCCAAAGTTAAAGCATCACGACTAGCTGAGAACACAATAATAATAGACATATACTCCACTAACAATCTATTCAAGATCGTTGCAATATGTTCAAGACAGACAGTGGGCTTCCACAAGATTCTAAAGCATCACATATTTCTTTAACTTGAGAGATGTACACTCGCATCCCTAAATCACCTTGATGAACAACTTTGAGTTGATAATGTAAATTCATTACTGTCGTTGTTGATTTACAAGCAAAGATCTTGTTTATGGTCATCCATACATGAGCAACTGTTTCAGCTCCCACTAGATGTGGCAGGAAAGACGGATTAATCATAGACAAAAGTCACGATGCCAACGTAGCTAACTTGCTCAACATGCATACATACTCCTAACTGCCACTACTGACCATGCACGTAGCTATGCAGCTATGCTTTAACAGGGAGAGTGCACACGTTCTTGTTTAGGCGAGTTCACAATTTTATTTATTTATTTTATTATTTCGTTTCATTATACTAAAAGTTGGTTGGGAAGGAGTGTTTTCATTCATTCGCGATTCATCCACGCTGCCAATGGATTGGTAGACTGCGACCAAGTTTCGATTGTTGCATTTCTACCATGCGTGAAATATGTAAACTATTATTGTAAATGGTTTCAGTATACTTAGAGTATATATATAGGGATATGATCAAATTACACAGTGTAAAACTCTTTTAGTTTCACACAAATTTCGGACTGTTGGATGAGTAAAAATATGTGGCTGAGATTAAAAGTAGGAAATGTGAAGATATTTATTGGAAAAAATAAGGAGTCAATCTCATCCATATGTTTTCACTCATCCAACGATCCTAAATATATTTAAACTAAAGACTTTTACATTGTGTAAGTGGATCTAACTTTTACATATATAGCCATTCGAATTGCAACAATGGGTTGCAATTTTTTTCTTTCACTATTGGTACACACACACGCATATATATATATATATATATATATATATATATCAATCTCGGGATGGTTAAATAATATGAATCAGTTAGGATTTATTAAATCACGAATCATTTCAATACAGGGAGTGAATTTGAATCAACTCAACGTCAATCGAATCATGTTGGACCTAGTACCTCGTCGGGACGTAAAAAGAGTGTTGCTCGTTAAATAAGCGGATTTCAAATTTTTTAGGTGTGTGTTTTTCCCCTTCGACATATAAATATTACCAACTTATGTTAGTAGGATATTAGTGTGTAAGTGTGTCTTTTCCTTGATTTAAAGTTAAATTAATTATTCATATATTCGTAAGTTCATATAGTTTAATACGAGCATATTCTCTCATATTACCATTTCATAAATTTTTAAAATTAATAATTGTTATGTTTAGTAATTGTGTGAAAATGTGAAGCATGATTAAATAATTTCTCTGTTCATAGAAGCATGTGGTGTTTGATTATTGTTGTGTGAAATCCTAAAATGTTAAGGCATGTTATTTCTTGTGGTGGATATATTAATTTATATATTTTAAAACTTAAATGTGCACACGTGGACGCGCACACACAAAGCATGCTATTTCTTGTAGTGGATATATTAATTTATATGTTTTAAAACTTAAAAGCGCGCGTACACACACAAGGTATGCTATTTTTTGTGGTGGATATATTAATTTATATATTTTAAAACTTAAATGCGCACGCACGCACGCAAATGCGTGCACACACATACACAAGGCATGTTATTTCTTGTGGTGGATATAATAATTTATATATTTTAAAACTTAAATGCTCGCACGAGCACACACACATAAAGCATGTTATTTTTTGTGGTGGATATATTAATTTATATATTTTAAAACATAAATGCACATGCACGCTCGTACATACACAATGGTGGATATATTAATTTATATATTATAAAAATTAAATGCACGCGTACACATGCGCGCACGCACATTAATTTATATATTTTAAAATTTAAATGCACACGCGCACGCAAGTACATACGCGGGCAGACACATACATACATAAACACATTAATTTATATATTTTAAAACTTAAATGCACATGCACACGTGCGTGCGTGCACACACAAGGCATGCTATTTCTTGTGGTGCATATATATATATATGGGGGTTGGGAGATTGGAGTTTTAATTATTGGAGTCGCTGTTAATGGAGTATCGAGGGTTAAGGTTTATATTTTTATTATCGGAGTCGTTGTTAATGGAGTCACTGTTAACGGAGTCGTTGTTATTGGAGTATTGAGGGTTAGAGATTGTATTTTATTATCGGAGTCGCTGTTATTGGAGTCATTGTTTATGGAGTCGTTGCTAATCAAAATGTTACCGGAGATGTTGTTATTGATAAACTTAAATTACATGGGTGTTCGGATATGGTGCATTGGTAATGATTAATAATTGCATAATTGCTCTTATATGTTCATTATATTTCTTATATGATATCATGATTAAATGTGTGTCTTTGCATGTAAATTCTATTACTTGTTGAATTAGTTTCAGACCACACTGAGCTTTGGCTCACCCCGTTTATTTCTTCCCTTTCAGATGGTTCGAGACATTAAGATCGGATCGGTAATTGGAGGATCGAGTTTCAATTATTAGTATTTTACTCGTACGATTCTATCAATAATTGACTAACTGTGGCATTTGGTTTTTATTTTTAATTACTTTTGAAAATGCGTTTTAAATTATCATACTTATATAATTTTCAAGTATTTGGACATCTTTTATCTTATGATTAAAATGTTTATTTTATATTACTTTGAAATATTTATTTTAATCATACCAAATTTCTAAATTACTTTGTGGAGTGCAGTGATATTTGATACTTTGTCGAAACATCTAGGCCGGATGTCGGGTGTTACGGTTTGAAAGCACATTAAGGGAATAAAAAAAGCATGCAAACAAATACAAAAGGAAAGGGTTAAAATTGATTTATCCCGAGAAAATCAGCTCACAAAATCTTGTCGGCAAATTGAACATAAAATTGATGGAGGAAAGGCTTAAGCTTACCTCCAAAACGCCTAGAGGACTTTTATTGCATGATTAGGGAAAATTGGGTCCAGCCAAAACTTTTTTTTTCTTATTTGTCTAAATATTTTAAACACAAGCACTTCGTAAATGCTAATGTTTTTATACTTTGCACAAAAAGTTGCAATTTTGAATCCTTAACCAGGATTTGTTTGAATAATTGGATTCTAAATGTCAATACATATCATCATATGGACAACTTTTATTATATCATAAATAATTTTACTAAAATTTCTTAATTCATTGGAAGTGACAGTGATAACAAGATGGAGGATTGATTTATGCGAAATAAATTATAATTTAAATTTAAATAAAAATTCACATTGAATTTAGTGTATGATTTAGTAGTAAAAAAATTTATTCTCCCAAAAATATCTAGATTCAAACAATTGCATTTGCAAAGCGTATGCGTGTTATCAATCGGTTGGAAAATTGGGTCCAGCCAAAACTTTTTTTTTCTTATTTGTCTAAATATTTTAAACACAAGCACTTCGTAAATGCTAATGTTTTTATACTTTGCACAAAAAGTTGCAATTTTGAATCCTTAACCAGGATTTGTTTGAATAATTGGATTCTAAATGTCAATACATATCATCATATGGACAACTTTTATTATATCATAAATAATTTTACTAAAATTTCTTAATTCATTGGAAGTGACAGTGATAACAAGATGGAGGATTGATTTATGCGAAATAAATTATAATTTAAATTTAAATAAAAATTCACATTGAATTTAGTGTATGATTTAGTAGTAAAAAAATTTTATTCTCCCAAAAATATCTAGATTCAAACAATTGCATTTGCAAAGCGTATGCGTGTTATCAATCGGTTAAAAAAAAATTCTAAATAGATAATACATTATAATTTTCTCATACTATTACAAATAAAAAAATATATATATTCACGTAAATACCAATTGAGTCTCTCTCTCTATATACATATATATATTCAACGGGTTAAATCAAAATATTTAAATTATTTTAAGATTTTTGTTTCCGAGCTATATATTACCAAGGGTAAACTATTTCAGAAACCACCAAACTTTAGGCGTTGTATCGTTTATATTACTGAACTTTCAATTTTATGTCAAATATAACATTGAACTTTGATTTTGATTTCAATTATACCACCTGGTTGTTAAATCGTTAATAGCTAGATTAAAATGACATCATTTTGATGAGGAGTCTATGTCGCCAGCCTCAACCACCTCATCATGCCATTAACAATTTAACGGTTTAATGATACAATTCAGATGAAAATCAAAATTTAATCCTATAATTAATAAAATTAATAATTTAATGATATAAACAAAACACCACCTACTATCGATTATAAAAAAGAGGTTGCGGATTGAGTTTATAGGAGGGGACAGGCAGTGGGGCAATTGTGTAAAGTGAGAATCATTCAAAGATACTAAACTAAATCTGATTCATTTCAAACACCTCTGATTTTGTCGGGTATTATTTCCTCAATATTATTGTGTTATACATATACAACTTTTGTTCTCTTATATTTTTCTTTAAAAAACTGATTAAGCTGGCAGCAAATGTAAACCCACCGATAGAGTGCTTAAAGATGTTAATGCAATTTTATTTTGTAGGTTCTAATTTATTATTGTGTTATACATATACAACTTTTGTTCTCTTATATTTTTCTTTAAAAAACTGATTAAGCTGGCAGCAAATGTAAACCCACCGATAGAGTGCTTAAAGATGTTAATGCAATTTTATTTTATGTAGGTTCTAATTTCAACATTTATATATATTTGAAGTATATTATCTTTTCATTTAATAAAGAAAACCATAGTTAATAAAATTATAGAAAGATGTCGAAAAATATCCCATGGTATTAGTCGCACTGATTGCATAAATTTATGTGGCAGCAGCCTATGTTGAATCATAAAAATTTACATGGACATATAAGAAATTCTAATTTATTTATAAAATAAAGATCTGATGTATTTGATAGTGTATAATTTTAGATAGTATTAGTGAATCAAATGATAATAATTTAAAATAATTTAATTTTAAAATTTTATAATAATATATTATTATCTAATTTCCTAAGCATGTATAAAATCATAAGTAGGCACATCAAATATTAATACAAATGCACAAGTCAAGTTACCTTCGTAGTTAAAGGAATTATTATTGTTTTTAGAGGTTACGAGTTCGAACACCAGTATTTACAATAGTAATAGAATATCTATTATCAAATAATTGAGAATACTTAGAATAAATATTGCTTTCTAATTACTTCATCTTAATTAAAAATATATGAATACAAAAAAAATTATTATCCTTTGTGGACATAAAACTCAAATGTTAATATATTATATTCATTTTTATCATTGTTTTTCATAAAGACATTTTCTTACTTTTTATAATTCCTTTCCGAGGTAATCTATTTCAAATGCCAATACATAGATTGTATCAGAATGTTTTGTTATTGGTCAAATTCCATCATATATTAAATTGCGGAAATAAACTTTTATTATTGAAGAAAGGGTAAACTAGCGATTTAGTACCTCATCTATTTCCACATTTTTATTTTGATCATTCAGTTTTTTTCGAAATTATACATAATAGTATATGTTTTGTTTTTAATTTGGTACATGTGTTAAGTTTAATCGTTGATTAAAAAAATAATCTGACATGATATAATAATAATTTTAATCCTCAAAACTTACACATTCTATCAAATTGATCTTAGTTCAAAATAATTCAATAAATCTTCGATATCTAAAAATCCTATCAATATTTTACGCCTTTTAATTTGAAATAATTCAATAATTTTTCATTACTAATTTAATAATTTATTATTAATTTAATAATATTTTTTTGAATATTAATGATTTATTAAATTATTTTGAATGAAGACCAATTTGATTGAATGTATAACTTTTGGGACTAAACTTGTTATTATATTATGTCATATCACTATTTTCATTAAGTCAGAGGTCAAATTTAACACCTGATGCGATCGGATCTATTTGTATGCTCATTGGTTAGATTTTTAGTCTTTCCTTGTATGGTTCTTATGTGATCTTAAGTTGTTAGTTTTGTTTCAATGATTATAAGAAATTTTACTAATTATGTGCTCATTTACGATTGTGATTGTAAATTTTATTGTGATTTAAGATATTTACTGCTTTAAACAAAATTAGTTGTTTATATAAAAAATATAAAACTACGAAATCATACATTACTAAACTATTTTATTATTATTATTTCTAATTAATAATCAAATTATTAATATTTTATTAATTTTATACGAAACTGTAATAAAATAAAATTATCAGATTAAGTTGAAGTTTAAAATAAAATTATCAGGTTAATTTAAAACATAAATTATGAAATTGCTTTTTGATTAGTTAGAGAGGTAATAAATTTTCAAAACAAATCTTGAGATTTGAACTCACAAAAAATCGGATAATATGAACATCTTTGCCTACTCAACCGATCAATAGATTTTAAATTATTAAATTACTTTATAACATATAGACGTAATAAATATAATCGTATTATCACATTTAATGACTAATTTATCATCATATAAAATTATGAAAATATATAAGTTTATTTTAATTTTACCGTATTTTTCAAGTAATGATATATGTATTTAGATTATAGCAAAAAGTATTGTAGGATTCTCTTTATTGAAAGGAGTCTGGTTATTTGTGCATGTCATTTTCTTTAACCCCACCACTAATCTCTCATTCCCTACCCTAAATCAAACAAATGACAAAAGTTGGACCAAAAAAATAAAATATAAAGAGGAATTGAATGGAAAAAGAGGACTAGTTCTTCCCTTGAACCAAACCAACTTTCATAAATCAGCTGCTATATTTACTAGGCTTTTCCCACATAAACAACTCTGGTAAAAACAATCCCAAGCTCTGATAAACATGGGGTTTATGAGCTACCATGTAGCAGATGACCAAAGCTTTTGTTTTCAAGCTCCCACATTCATTGAATGGCTCAAGCCATCTTCATCATCATCATCATCATCTTTTGAATGGCTTAACCCCATGGATACCTTGAAACTGCAGCACCAGCAGGAAACTATTGAATGCCTACCACTTTTGAGCAGGTTTACTGAGAAGAAACCATTGAAAGAGGAAGATTTGGAGAAGAAGAAGAGTATTGGGGATGTTAAAGAAGAAAATATTGAGAAATTTGCGGTTTCTCTACACATTGGGTTGCCTGAAAGTAATAATATTCCAGTTGCAGACAACGATGTTTTGAAGGAGAAAGAAACCACGAAAAAAACCTTCCATGGATGCTCTTTGAACACTGTAAGTAGGTTTTGGATCCCAACTCCAGCACAGATTCTCGTCGGTCCCATGCAATTTGCTTGCTCGATTTGCAGCAAGACGTTCAATAGGTACAATAACATGCAGGTCAGTCCACTGCTTTTCTTCTTCTTTTCATTTCTGTAAATCAAATTATCCTATAAATCCATGAAGATCAGCTTTTTCATGTAGGTGAAAAGAACAAAATGAAGAAAGAATACTTGAAAATATATTGATACAAAATAGACAATTGTTTTAAGCATTTTCGTACAGACACACTCTACTTTGGATATAATTTGAAGTAGCATGTACATGCAAAGGAACCTGACCATAGTTTTCATATTTTGGTTTGAGTTTTTCTGGTTAAATCTTTTATGATTTTGGTTCTACCAAATGTCAATTTTTATCAAGTCACCCTTCTCCTTCCGCTGGAAATTCAAAGATTACATAGATATTAAGAAACAGCTAAAAACAAAAATAATAATCGAGTCCAATTCTGTTTATTAACTAAAATGATTAAAAGATAATATTTGTTTAAAATTCAATCGATCAATTGACAATAAACTCATATACACTTTGCCGCTCGAATTGAAGATTTCTAGAAAGATCAACAATTCCTTTAACTACTAGATCGATTGATGGGTTGATAATTGAGTACGACCTGGGAGTAGTTTCATAATAAATGGGAAAGTAGAATAGGTAATTAATTTGCAGGCTTCAATTTTACTGTTTTAAATCATAATTGAGGTAATAATTTCGAAGTGAAAATTGGTCCTTTCCTTTTATTTTAACTAATCCACATCCAATTTCTTTTGACTTTTTGTCCTTGATTGCTTACCTTTTGGGTGGAAAGCTGTGAGGGAAGAAAGCAAGCTGGGATAGCAAAAACATTGTTTAACATTTTTACTTATAAAGATGTTTTAGTGGTAGGAAGCTGAATTTGATTAGGCCAAAACAAAAGTTTTAGAGCTTTGGATTCTTATCTTTGGTGTCTAATTTTTACTCATTAATCACTTTAATTGTTCAACTTTTTAATTAAAAAACATATCTTAATGATCATTGTATGATCATTATAAAGAGTCGAACTCATCGAGTAGCCTATTTTTATATGTTGTCAATAGAGTACTAAAAAAAAGAAAGTGTTTCCTTTTGCCAAAAAAACATGATATCTTTGCATGAACAGATGCATATGTGGGGGCATGGGTCTGAATATAGGAAAGGGCCAGATTCACTTAAAGGAACACAACCAGCAGCAATGCTGAGGCTGCCATGCTATTGCTGTGCCCAGGGCTGCAAAAACAACATAAATCACCCTCGAGCCAAGCCATTGAAAGACTTCCGAACACTCCAAACACACTACAAAAGGAAACATGGCTCCAAGCCCTTCATGTGTCGAAAATGTGGCAAGACGTTCGCCGTCAAAGGCGATTGGCGAACGCATGAGAAGAACTGCGGCAAGCAATGGTATTGCACCTGTGGCTCCGATTTTAAGCACAAAAGGTCTCTGAAAGATCACATCCGGTCGTTTGGCAAAGGCCATTCCCCTCATTTTTCTCTTGAGGGATTCGAAGATGACAAGGAATGCATCACCGGTTCCAAGGGCGACTTTGTTCGCTAGACTTGTGACTCAAGCAACCTTCTTGTTTTGAGATTTAGATAGATCTAATAGCTTTAAAAGTTTCTTAGGCTTACCCCCAATTAAGCTTTTGCTCTATAACAAAACATTTCTCAAACAAAAAACATGGGGACAGTTTTGGTATGGAGCCCTTGCTGAGTAGGGGTTGAGCAAACTTTTTTTTTTACTCTTTGGGAAATAAATTAAGCAGAAAAACAAAAGGGTTACCTCAAGTGGTGAAGTAGATGAATTTTCTTCTCTTCAACAGAGAATTGGGTTATTTTCTCAAAGGGAGAAAATTTATCTGCTTCATTGCTAATTGGTAATCTTTAATAGGATTGAATATTGCATTGTTTTCTAGTTTTTTATATCTCCTGGCTTCAGACCTTTGTTCACTTAATCATGTGCAAGTTTGTTACACTTAATTTTAATTCTAAATATCTATAAATATAGTTTTTATAACTATTATTTAGGTATAATATCAAAAATTGATCCTAAAGTTTTATTAAATAGTTATTTTCCCTATACTTTATGGAGTGTTTTGGCCCCAACGTTTCATTTTAGGGTTAAAACCCCCCAACATTTGGCTAAATATTCACTTTGGTCTTTATTCTTTTTTCTTTAAGTATATTGGTTCTTATAGTGTCATTTTAGGGGAAAAAAGGTCCTATTTTAGTATGCTTATTGTTTGTTGATTATCGGTTTCCATTCACTGAGGGCCTTGTTGCCCAAAAATAAAATGTTGAGGTCAAAGATGGAAGTAAAATTCTATGTTGGGTAGAACTTCTAAAATTTTAGGAGGAGAAAAACTTATAAAATTATTGGGGGACGAAAACAAATTATCAATAGAAAATACAAAGCAAAAATCTAAAATATATGATAATTTTAAATTTTAGGGAACGATCACCCCAGTCGTCCCCTTCTACTCATCTCTAATTAGAGTCAAAATACTCTAAAAAATAATAAAGATCAAAATATATATTTCATCGAACATTATGGACTTTTTTTTATCATTATGCCTATTATTTATTAACTAATGAGATACAATAGATTGATCCTCAATGCATACAAGCCTAATTTATAATTTAATAAATTATTAATGAAAATATACTAAATTAATTAAAGGGCGGATTGTTATGAATGTTATTAAAAGCGTAAACATAGATCTAAACACGCATGCTAACTCCAACAAGTTAAAAAGGAAAGAAATATTCCATGTTCAAGAAAATATGCAAACTTGTGCAAAAAAATAAAATAAAATAAAATTAACCACAATTATTCAACATAAAAACTCTACATATTGTAACAGGTTTCCCACATGAACCAGTTAATAAAATGAAATCAATGTGTATAATAATCAATAATGATCCATTCAGAAAATAATAATTGATAATGATGCTTTCCTGCTCCCTTTTCAGTATTTGGTTGCAACCTAATAGAATAAAGACACCATTTGGTTGAAGTTTAAACATGACTTAGTTACGCCTATCACGGCACCAATCCCACACAATCACATTAATTAATAACAGTAGAACCAACCTCATAATTAAATGAATATTAAATATTTTCATTATAATATTTTTTTGTGTAGCAGAAAAAAGTTTATTAATAAAAAAATATAGGCTTGCATTACAAAAATAAAAGCAAGCTATGATATATTTAAATGTTTATTATCAAATAATTAAATATGTTCAAAATAGATATTATCAATTATAATTAATCTAGATCAATAAAAAAATTACGGACATCAAAACAACAACAATTGTTTTGTACCATTCTAATATTGTACTAGAAGAGAACTAAAGCTACTCCATGAATATCAACTTTACCATGAAGCTCTAAATAGTTATTTTCTTTGCTAAAGGCGGAACTTATAAGAGATTAATGGGCCATGGCCCCGAATATATTTATATATATAACCCCTAGATCTGGACTGGGAGTTTCGACCAAATTCAGACAGTCACATGTCATATATAGAAATCATTTCCAAATTCAAAAAGCACTTAAAATTCATTTCAGTAAATAACTAAGATTAATGGTAAAAAACAAAAATACATAACATTAAAATGTATATACATATCATCAGAAGTCTGAATGGAAACGTGGTCAAAACAAAATATCAGGATACATATACATACAAACGACATTAAAAACATGTGTCACCAAAATATAACAGAAATGGGTGTAAGAAAATATACAGTGGTACAAAAGTTGAGAATGGTCGATCCTCCTCATGCCATGTCTGTTAGCATACTATCGGATATTATCTGAAAAGTTAAAAATTAATGAATAAGCTAAAAAACCTAGTATGATCCTTGCGGTGTATAAAAACATACAGATAAAATATTTCAATAAAAGTTCATTTATAAAACAAGATATTTAAACATGAACATTACCCCCATCCGTACACTAGAATATACAGGTTTCCCTGAACCATACACCCACATGTACGCCCGATAATGACCTTATATTGATAGAATAACGGCCTGCGGGAAGGTGTTAGCCAATGCAAAAAGTAGAGGAGCCTGCAGTAAGGTCTTACAAGTCATAGACTAGGCCTGAAATACTTTCCTCCAATCATACCCACCAATGATAGTAAATATGCATGAATTTGAGTGAAAAAATAATTTAATATAATAAAACATTAAAACATGTCATTTTTCCAAAATCAGATATAGAAATACGGTAACTAGAGATCATATCAAAAATATACTAAATGAAGATATCATAAGTAAAAGCATACAGTAAAACAAATGTCATGCAGTCAGAATATTTAAATTTCCAAAATAGTTTAGACAAATTATTTAAAACAATAATGTGACACCAAATAGGAAAACACCTGTACCAATCTGAGAACTCTGGGATTGGTGCAAGTATACATGTCGCAAGTTATAATATAGAATAGATATCGTCACCACAAGGATTGGTGTAACTCTGTGTTTTAACTCCTTGTACTGTAAAAAGGAATAAATTGGTGATAGAAGAAATTTGAATTAACGAGTAAAAATAAAGGTACAAGTAAATAAAAGTATATTAAGATTGAATAAGAGAGAAAGTCGGGTTATCGTGAGTTGTGGTGTGATGAATGTATGTATAGTCTGAGTAATTGATTGCCAAGGAAACTCGATTGCCATGACAACTGAGAATGATTCAATTGACGTAGAAATTGGGTTCCTCCCTTCAAAGCTTGGTGAAGCATTCTACAATGCCTTCTTATTATCCCTAACCCGAAGAACTGGTTAATTGTTCATGCATTGGTGATGCATCTTTGCTTTAACCATGGGTGAACAACAGTGATCTTGTGCTTCTTTTAGTCATTAAAATCAGAATCATATCCTTAAGATGGATTAACCTTCACAAACGTTCGTTAGAATGAAGATCATGCTCATTTGTTTCTTGAATCTAACCCTCCCGATATTAGATAAATGGATAACTCTTGAGATCCTCCCCCAATTTGTTCGAAATCAAAGTAAGAACTAAGAATGGACAAACTTTGAAATTAAACCGCAATCAATGAACTTAAACAAATCCACACATTTTCACAGTGATAAAAATCCAATAACCCAAGCCAATTTAGTATAGTTCATGGTTGGGTGTAAAAGAAACACATGGTAAAAATTTCCAAACATGAATCAAATAAAAATAAGAAAGAAGATATGCGATCAACTCTCAGTATTTCTATATAGTCGGCCTCCCCTTGCAGATTGTGATTTCATTATTATTTATAAGAGATGATTAGGTTGAATTGGTTGTTAATGAGGATGAGTTTTAGTTAGAATAAAAGAGATAATAAATCTTTTTTATTTTTATCATCAAACTCCTTGCAAATCGTACTTCCTTACCTCATTAAAACTTTGTGTGAAAACCCATATTTTTTGACTTATCTCTTTCTTTTCGTGCTCATATTGAATAAGGTGGACTTATCCAGTCATCATAGGCAATCGACTCGATAAACCCTTTAGAAAATAGTTTCCAATGCCACAACAATTTATGCTTGCCAAGGCAATGCCTAACATGCACAAATTAACCCACACGAACGTCTTTTCCACAAAAACCAACCGTAATGACATATCAAACTTGACAGTGAAGGAAACTATGGAATCATGCATGAGTGACTAATAATGCAACTAAAATAAGCCTAACTCTAGCAATAATTATGAGAAAAAAAGTATAAAACATAGTACTTTTATGCATTTAACACACCCCCAAACTCAAACTATTTTTTGTCCTCAAGCAATGCATGACATCCATTTCTCATAGCAATTAGACACATCAATCTTACACTTGTTTTGCACCTGTTACCTCAAAATCTTAGGAATTTTCTGCCAATCACCTTCAAATCTCAAGACAACAAGAAATCAACTCAATTCAACCTATGATGCTCGTGTAAGACTGTGCTCTTAGTCGAGAAGGTTCACTACTATCGGTATTTGAAGAGAATATCATAATTATCAAATTATTTAATAAACCAAAAGATTTCGCAACAAATACTATTTAGATTAACTATAACTTCAGCTTATCGTAACTACCTGAGAGTAATTGAGTAGTAAGATGTTGTTAACAATGAACCCCCTAGCCTTTTAGTTAGAGTTATCCCGTGAAGACTTTCATTCACTCATGCTATTGGCGACTATCTTTCCTACTTAGTATTCACTAAGCGTACCAAACTTGCTTTAGCAGTGGAGTGTTCTAGAGCTAAAAGATTGTTGTGAACAATTTATTAGGCTAGAGCTAGATGGGTACCTCTAGCAATTCACATAGAACTTAAACAAAAATGCAAGATAACTAAGCATTCACCAAAATACCCATAAGTCAACCAAACAAGACATTCGGTAGATAGTTATAGGATCACAATAATCCTTAAGGAAATATCAAATTATCTACAAGCCCTAAGATTCTTGGCATTAAAATACTATCGATAATTATCTCATCATAGGTAAGTACAAACACTACAAGAAAATATACCTTTAATGACACACGAACGATAACACACACTAATTTATGACTTGCAAAACATGTGTGTCATAAACAATGTCATGTTTTTTAAAATCTGAACGATTTATGACTTACAATAATGTGTCTCATATTTAATAGTCATAATCCAAAAAAATTGCAAAAACACGAAATACACTTTTTAATTGTGTGTCATCTTTAGGAGTCGTATTCTAATTTCCCCCATTATTTTCATCATTTCCCGCTTCTTCCCCCCGCCTAATGTTTTCCACTCCTTTCATTCTCTCCTGTTTTTCATCCCGATTCTCTTCTTCTTGTTAGGCCCGAGTTTGAATCCCTAGCCTCTGCCGCTCATTTCCGCCTCCAATGAACTCGATGATCTCCGTCTCTTCCACCGCGCCACCGTCTCTCCCTCCACCTCGTCCCACCTCTCCTCCTCCTCCCCTAAAATCACTTTCCTTTTCTTGACCAACACCGACCTCTATTTCCTCCATTCCGTCTCGTGTTTCCAGTTATTTCTCAGTCTTACTCTTTTTGTAAATCTGATTCTTTTTTGCATTGATTTATGCTTGTAATGCATCTATTCTTTTAATGTCATTTGAAGTTTATTTTTTTCTAATCATTAGACTGAAATTTGGAGATTTGACTGTTTGAGTTTTGTGTAGAGTTCTGAGATATCTAAGCTTGAGGCATGATGGCTTCTATGACGTATTCTCCAGCTGCATTTACTGGAACTTCAGCTTCCTATCTTCTTCGAAGCTCCGGTAATGGCATGAGAGACATCCCTCTTGAAACCCTAGGGACATCATGATTTCATGCGTCAAAAAGGGGTGTAACTGTAGTTACAAAGTTGAGAAAAGTGAAGCATGAATATTCGTGGCTTGCAGATCCGGATCCAAATGTGAAAGGTGGAGTCCTAAGTCATATTTCCCATTTCAAGCCTTTGAAAGAAAAGCAAAATCCTGTTACTTTGGATTTAGAGAAGCTCCTTGTAAATTTTGAGAATAAGATGATTGATGTAATTCCTTATTTCCAGTGACTTTTGGTTTTTATGATCATAACAAGCCCGTGGTTGCTTCAAATTTTGTGTTTGTTTCATATGGAGGTGAGGAGGATGGCAAATGAAACTGGATTGGACTTCAGTGATCAGATTATATTATTGGAGAATAAATATCAACAGGTACAATTATATTATTTGAGACCATCTGAGAGTACATTAGCTGTTTCCATGAAGTAATATAATTTCTAGTTATACATTTATATGTTCCTCTGAGTCGATACATATTCAGCCTGTTAATGAGAGTAAAGTTAAGTATGGAATATGTTTTCGTGTGCTCAATTTAATTATAAAAAAACTAAAAATTAGGTCAGGAATTTATATTTAATATTGGCTGATAAAATGTTTCTGATGTTGCATTTTCTATGGAATTTATTTGTTATTTAGAATTTTATTATAGTACTTGATTTTATTTTTGGATTCATTCTCTTATTGCAGAGGATTATCAATAGTAGAACATTTATATGCTTGCTTGAAATTCGGTGGTGTTAATCTCCAAAATCTATGATTCTACTTTAAGTCTGCTGTAAGCTTGATACCTTAATAAGGGATGAGCTTAATTCAATGTTTTAGAAAAGGCTTGCACATCATTTAGTGTTGATGTGTTGTTAAAGATATTGATGTTTCACCATGTTTTTGGTTTTCGGTTAACTCTTATAATCCTTTATGTTATTTATTTCAGGCCTTGAAGGACTTATACACACATCTAACCCCTATACGAACATTGCCCAGCACCCTAACAGACCTGCATTCCTTGATCATGTATTTAACATTACCGATAAGGTTTGGTGGTTGCATGACCTTTAACTCAGATATTAAATTCTACATATTTTCATCAACATTATCTTTAACACCCAGTGTGTGGAGGGTGAAGAATTGTTCTAATAAATTTTTTGTATATTCTCATGTGTCTAGTTTATGGAACTTCATGGAGATCGATCGGGGTATGACGATCCAACTATTGTTACTGGTATAGGAACCATAGATGGTAGGTGATACATGTTTATTGGTCAGCAAAAGGGTAGAAACACTAAAGAGAATATTTAACGTAACTTTGGAATGTCGACTCCCCATGGGTAAGTATATGAAACTTGCATGTTGAATTTTACCTTTCAAAGAGAAAAATCTGTCACTCTTAACTGATATTTAAGAAATGCTTACAATTATAGGAAGGCTCTGCGCGTGATGTATTATGCAGATTATCATGGTTTTCCTATAGTTACTTTTATTGACACTCATGGGGCGTATGCTGACCTTAAATCTGAGGATCTGGGTCAAGTATTAGGACTATTGTATTATGAAGCATACCATATATACTTTTAATATTGGCACAACTGATTTTTATGCGTTACATTCATGTAGGGTAAAGCTATTGCCCATAATTTGAGGACCATATTTGGTATGAAGGTCCCAATCGTTTCTATTGTTATCGAGGAAGGTGGCTCTGGCAGTGCCTTGGCCATTGGTTGTGCTAATAAATTGTTGATGTTGGAAAATACAGTCTTTTCTGTTGCCAGGTATTGAGATGTCGTAAATTATTTTTATTGAAAGTCGTTTAAGCCTGTACAACTTGTCTTTTTGATCCCACACAATATATGATATTGCAATTGGTTAAAACCTTATTTTTCCTCGTTGTACCTGGTAAGATTGTATATTATTCCTTGTAAATGTTGATCTTTTTTAGATGACATTTCTAATTGTGCCGATATTTCATTTCTTTCCTATTTCTTTAAATGGTATAGTCCAGAAGCCTATGCTACAATTTTGTGGAAGACTTCCAAAGCTTCTCCAAAGGTTCAAAAGAAATTATTGGTTTTAGGCTTATTTTTTAGTAATTTTCATTTTCTTATTAGTATTTAAGGTTTCCAGTTGTAGCTCCTGTCAAAATGACATTTGAAATGTAAGTGCTATTCTTTATCTAAAATAGATGTTATTATTCTCAATTACTGCTTAGCTACAATATCGTTGTTCTCTTTCCTCAACAAATGTTCTCGGTGTTGTAGATATGCAACATGTGTAATACCTATAAGTGCATTCTTTGCATCAAGTCTTTGGTAAGTATTTAACTGTGGTATGACTAGAATTTTTGTTTGGTGTGTGGTGTAGTGTTTTCCTTATTATGGTGTGGTTTGTGTTGTGTAATGAGTTACTTATGTCAGCAAAAAATACATATTTCTTGAAAACCCTACTGAAAACCCTACCGAGATTGAAAACATAGTATTACTTGTGAACTTGTTGCTTGTTTCAGACTCTTTTTTGTTTTAAGTATAATATTGTTCCTTAATGATCATTGTTGGTAGGGTACTACTGAAAACCACTCCTTGTTGCTTGTTTCAAACCCAAGTTGGTAGGTTGACTTGAGTTTGTGAAAATTCTCAACTAAATAAACCTGGATGATTATTGTTAAGCTCAAATCAAGTATAGATACAGTAGTAGTACCTGTTACATGTATTGTTTTACCTTTTATTTTGTTTCTTAAACTTGAACTAAGGTTAAGGGGGTTTTACGGAGTGGTCAAGTTACCTTCTCTGCATAATGAAGTTTCTTAATTAAACCAGGATCCTAATTTGTTGAATTGCTACCATTTGTCTTACTCCATGTTTTCATATCTTAATGCCTTGCCCTGAAATACTGGTTCTGACAACACTAATTTGTTTTTCTTATACTTTTAATGAAAATTAAATTTTAAATCCATTTAAGCTGTTTAGTTTCCAAAAGGTTTATGATATTGGCTACAAATTGCTTATATGATATGAAGCTTATTATGTACTGGCTGTGCAAAATTTTGACATCTTTGTTTTATTTTGCTTACCTTTTGTTGATATTGTTTTTGCATATTCTAAGCATCCTCATTTTTTGTTATTGTCAATACAGGTTTGGCAACACTGCATATTTGCATATATATGTAGTTTTTATCCAGATGCTCAAAGCTCTAAGTATGTGGAAACAGAATGCATTATTTGATTACATCCAACGAAATCACTCTATAATTGTAATGACTGGCTATTTATGTTTGTAATATTACAGTGCCAGTGGTAACATTTTTCATGGGTGTCATGTGTATATATTGTATGCAAATGGATTGCTTATATATAATATGATATATATATTTAGTATTATGAGGCATTAAATGTAATTTAGTTTGATTATTTGTCAATCTACAATATATATAAATATATATAATTTACGAAATACAATCACGACATACGAATGTGTGTCATCTTCATTTATGACGGGGGCTTCAATGACACGTAATGTAAGTCATACATGCGTATCATTAATTTATGACACACAAATGTGTGTCATCTTTATTTATGACGGGGGCTTCAATGACGTTCAATGTGCATCATAAATGAGCGTCATAAATGTGTGTCATAAATGTGTGTCATAAATGAGTGTCATAGATTTATCATACACAATTGTGTGTCATCTAAGATTCATGTCGATGGCTTCAACGACAGTCATTTGTGTGTCATCCGTACCAATAGATGACGCGCAATGCGCGTCATTAAAGGGGTTTTTTCTAGTAGTGAAAGTCTCAACAATTATTTATATATCTAAATGCCATGGAATGTAAATGTCATGGAGAACCTGAATGAATAACACAAACAATGCAAAACACAAAACATGACATAATAAATGCAATATGACAAAATGAACAACACCCCCAAACTCTAGAGGAGCATTGTTCTCAATGCATGTAAAATGAATGGGTTAGTTAGAAAGGGTGTCACTTTGACTGATAAGTGTCATTTGAGTCACTTGTTTGATTCACTTGTTGGCTTGCGGTGGTTGGGAGCGTACTGCTGGTGGTGCCCTTAAAATCCTTATGTCTTCAACCTCATCGCTTGGTGCATTCTCGTGTTAGGTCTTTGATGGTGGAATATTTGTGTTCCAACAGAATGTATGGTATGGTTCTTTAGAAGAACTTGGTTTAGTCATAACTTTGAATTTCATGGCCATAGGTTTTTGTGAGGTTGTAAAGTGAAAAGAAAAAAATGGAAAGTAATGAAAAGTTAGAATTCATAGAAGATGAAATAGTAAAGACTCCAAACAGAAGTGGATGGGAAGGTAATGGAGTAAAGGTGAAAGGAAAATGTGGTGAAGGGAATGAGAGGCAATACAAAGGGTCTAGGCAGCTAGAAATTAAATAAGGTAATCCCTCAAATCAACCCATTAGTTTCTTCAAAGGACAAACTCCATCTTTTAATCAAACTATTCCTTTTCTTGAACTCGTATCCTAAAATTCAAACAAAACAAAAAGATAAATATTAAATAAAGAGAAAAATGAAATTAAATATATAATGTATAAAATAAATAAGAATGCAAATTAAATAAAAATAACAAATTGGAAAAAATAAAAAAAAATAAAAAATAAAGAAAAAGTCTAAAAGTTAAAAACAAAAATAAAATACTAAAGGATAACATATTCATGCATCTCCAAGAGTAACCACTTTATTGTTGCGCTCAACAGGGGCACCAATGTAGTGCTTTAATAGTTATACATTGACTATAAACTCATGGTCATCAATGGTGGACTAGATTATTATGACACCATGGGAGAAATGTTTTACTACCTCGAATGTTCCAGACAATCTTGATTTCAGTTTTCCCTAAAAACGTTTTAACCGAGAATTGCAGAGAAGTACTAATTGTCCTGGTATTGGTTTCAATTTTAAAATAGAAGGTTGCTCAATAGAAGATTTTTTGAGTTTACCTTCATTACCTGAGTAATCTAATTGTTCGAAATATTTACCCGATCGATTTATTATTCAATGGTTTTATCATGCTCTCAATCGTCAAGTTCTCAAACTTCCTCCGATTCGACAATAGAATTGATGTGGAAATTCTCATATACTTTAAAATTGAATTCAGTGGTGGAGTGAATAACTTGGCATTCTTGTGGATCATCAGCATGCCTTAAGGTTGGAAAAACTTTCAATTTGACTTACTGGTCATTCACTTTCATAATGTGTTATCCCTTTTCAACATCAATTAAGGTTCTTCCTGTTTCTAGGAATGGTATTCCAAGGATAATAAGTACGAACTCATCTTCTTCAAAATCCATAACAATGAAGTCAGTGGGAAAAATAAATTTATCAACTTTTACCAGTATATATTCAATTTTCCACTCTGGTTGCACATAGGATATGTCTGCAAGCTGTAGCATAACTATCTTATGTCTCACCTTTCTAATACCCAATCTTTTGAACATGGATTTAGGCATAAGTTTTATGCTCTCTCCAAGATAAACTGCTACTTTGCATTTGGCTCTCGGCTGACTATTTAGGTGGCTAAACCAGTGTGAACGACTTTTTCCCAGGTTCTGTTTCTATTCATTATATATATATATATATATATATTTGTAAATAAAAATCAAATTACTATTATTATTTTTTGAGAAGAAAAGAATATTGAACCTTAAAATATTTGATTTTGTTGAGTCAATTGATAAGATGAAATAGCCAAAAAGGGGTAAATTGGCAATTAAAATTTTGGTGGAAGTTTGACAGAAAATAAAAATATTTGCACAGTGATTTAGAGTGGTTCGACTTTCTCAACCAAAGTCTACGTCTACTACCTTAGCTATCCATACTAAGACTTTTCCACAAATTCACTAATTTGTCTTTCTTTTCAGGACAAAGAGTAACCTTACAACTCCCTCAAGAATTATACCTCAAATTATTAAGACACTCTCTCTCAAAGAGAAAATTACAAATTTCACAAACTTATAAGAAAAACCTCACAAGGTAAGATTGTTTGAACAATTCTAGAACAAAGAAAAAACACTTAAAAATAAATACAATTGAGCACAAATGATGTTCTTGAAAGTAAAATGAATATTGAATGGATGTTGGCTTGATTTTCTCAAACAATAAGTTTAAGGCTTTCTCTCTTTCAATTCTTTCTCAATACTTGTTCACCAATGCTTCAAGATACCTTTCAAGGAGTATTGATACTACTATGTGTAGTAGTATCGATACCATCCAAAGAGTATCGATACTACTATGTAAATTAGTATCAATACCGGTCATGGTATCGGTACCATATTTGTATTCTGTTATTTCTTAGAGTCAAAACTAAAGAGGTAGTATCAATACCATGACTATGATATCAGTACCACTATATGCAATGGTATCGATACCGTGTAGGGTATCGGTACACATTTTGCATTCGATGTTTGGGGGTATCGATACTGTTAAGGCAGTATCGGTACTACCCTATTGAAATCTCAATTTTGACTTGATTATGGTTCGAAATACTTTGTAAAAAATATTTCAAAAATATTTTAAGAGTGAAAATTTTTCATTTAAGTAAGAACTAAAATATGACATTTTAAAACTTGGAGTAATATTTGTAATATTCGAATAATTAAATCAAATTTATATTTGAAATTGAATATAAAATCTTAAAATTCATTAACAAATTTATTTGTTATATCGAAATATCAAAATGTTTTCAACAATCTCCATATTTTTGATATAACAAAACATTTTCGAAATTTTAAGATTTCTTTTGAAAAATCACTTTGAAAAATTTACTCCCCCTTACTTTGAGATTTCTCATCCTTTTTGTTAAATAAAAAAGTCTCTATAAATTATAAACAAGATAGCCAAAGTGAAATATATATATATATAGCTGTTAAGATCAAGCCAAGAGAAATATTAGTTAACATAATCAATATTCATATTCAGTATGCAATTGGGATTGGTCATAAGATTTACTATGATGTAATTCAAGAACTAATGAAATTACATAAATATTCAATTAAGTTCAAAATAAAACTAATCATTCATAATTAATCATCAAAAAACACAAACATCCAAAACATTCAAACATAAATAACTCAATCCAGAAAGTATCAAAATGTTAAGACAATGTAAAGGTTGATAGACATAGTTCAACTTAAGAAACCTAGCAAGATTGGCCACTCATCCGTATGAGGATCAGGATGATATTGATGTGCTTTAAGGAAAGAAACATCGCGAGTGAGTGCGTCGAGCCTCTCATCTACTGCATTGAATCTATTATCCATTGCTTTGCGTTGAGATCAAATTTCCCTTTGATTTTCCTAATGTTAAGTTCCTATAGTAGTCAAATGGGACTCCAAGGATGCGAAGCGTAGTTCCAATGTCTCCATAAACCAATGAAAATATGGAGGCATTGAAATTTATTACCTAGCGACTCTTCTTCGGGTTAATTTATAGGATCGCCGTCATCCCATAAAAGATCTTTAAGTTCTTGAGCCGGAGCTGGAGCTGCTCGTGATGAACTAGCACCGGGAGTTATCTTCATTAATTGAACCCAATTGTCTTTTTCGCCAGTCCATCCCGATTTCCGTAGAGATTTAAAGTTGATTTCGGTGCCTAAAAGGATGGTTATATCAAGGTCTACTCTAATACCAACTTTGATGAATATATTACTAAGTATACAACCATAAACTAAAGTTTCAACTTGTTTGGAAGGCACATTTTTTACGGTTTCTACTAATTTCCCAAAGATAATTTGTGGTAGATTTATTTTCTTAGTTTTCAAGATGCAATTGATCCACCATATGCCAATAGCTCTAAAAGAGGAGCATTTTCCTATGGATGGTCTAAACCACCAAGAGATCATTAAGTGAATGATACACTCTTTATAGTTTAATACACTCACACTCTTATTGACCTCATATGGGGAAGACACTAAATCTCTCTCATTTTCGACCCCTATATTATCTAGTTCGAATGTGCTAGCTATATAGTCTGAGTCTATAGTAATGTATTGGCTTAATAGATAGGACCAAATACTTTTGGTGGCGGTTTGGGACTCATTTTGTGGATACACGACATTGGAATAAAAAATACAAACTAGTTACTGATAGACAACTGGTTTTACTTTAAAGAGGTTATCAAACTTCCAAGTTTTGAGGGTAGGGAAGTATTTGAATTTCAT